CATTAAATTCCAGTGAAATATATTTATGTTTGTGGTTGTAATGTGACAAAATATGGAAAAGTTCAAGGGGTATGAATACTTTTGCAAACCACTGTAAATAGCTTACTTTGAGAAAATTTCACAAAATTGATATGATAAAATCATAACATCACAAAAACATTCTTTATCTGCACTGTTATACTGTTTTGCTCTTTTGTTTATTCTCTCATCTGTTTTCTGTTTTTAGAGAGCACCGGGTCAAAGCATCAGCAGCAAAGAGAACGAAGAGCAGAAAGATCCAGTGAGAAGAGGCCATCCAAACCTGTCAGGAAGGTTCAGAAAGTTCCTCTCGTCTCAGACCTGAATTCAAAACCAGGTAAAATGACTTTGTTTTGTTGTTGTTGATGGGGCAAATGCAAATTTTAAACTAATTTAATTGTTTATATGTGGAAGTATTTGTTAGGAACTTGTCAAGGTTCAGTGCAAATACTACAAGAAGGAAAAGCTCAGATGTATTTGCTTACCTGGCTGCTCCAGAACCATGCTTAAACGGGCCAATAGAACCAAGGATCACTTCTGAGCTCTAGAAAACAGAGTAGGATGTTTATGTTCCAGTCACAGACAACACTTGAAGTCTAGTTGGATCACTTTCCTCTCAGAGTTAAAAAATAATCTGTCTTTTCAGCCACAGACAGAACCAACAAGAAGGAAGCAAAAAGTATAGAATCAGAGAAAAGTCATAAATTCTAAATGTAAATAAATTCTGATTATATTAATAAAAGAATTTTTGCAAATTTTGCATCTAAAAATCACATTTTTTTTCTTTTAATCTGTTTTTCCACAATTCAGCAGCCTAATGGATTTCTGTAAAAAAATATTTTGTATTTTATAAAAATGTCCAAGTTTAACAATGTGTGAGAAATCCATTTTTTTGTTTATTCAGTCCATATTTGATACAGCTGGCAAAATAAATTGTTAAAAATATATTAATCTGCTTAATTTTTTCAAAGTCTGCATATTATATAAGATTAACCCTTCATGTTATGGAAAGACTCTCTTGATACAAGAGAAAACTCAGGTTTTTAAGAAAATGGCGGCAAATCAGTTACTCATTAGTTAGTCGATAAGATCAATCAACTTTAGATTAATTCATTTGTCGATAACTTGCATCCCTAATTGTCATATCTCTTTCTTTTTGTTGGTGTATTATTGACTCTTTGCCTTATAAACTTATAAACTCTTTGCCAAAAAAATGTCTCTAGATTAATAGCTTAATCAAAATCATTTTGTTTTCTTTAAAATCTTAAGAGTTAAAGTGCTTCAAACTAAAGACTCAAGTAAAATATTCACCAGAGTTTTGGACATTTTTTTTGTGCCAAGTTTTTAGACTGGATTAAATAACCTGGACGTATTGTTTATATGGACACAAAATTAATTAATCTGATCATGCCGAGTGTTTACCTGCACCAGGCTTTTATTCAGAATAGAAGTACTGACATGGGCAGAGTTTTAAACTCGCCCTAAAACACAATCTGCAAACCGACCAATTACGCATCATCTTAGCAACTAGCCAGGCAGAAATACATCAGGTTGACATCGGGCACACATGCACAGTCAGGTTAGTTTTCCACAACCAGAATAAAATGATCAAAATGAATGCTTACATGCAGGATGTTCGTATGTTCAATCGTTATAAAACAACCCTCTCATTCAGATTACAAATTCATTCCGATTGAGCTGAATCAGATCAAACTATTCCAATTGGACTGTTTACGTGATGTATTTTGATTCTTATTGGCCATTTATTCCGATTACTTATGCCCATGTAAACATTTATAAACAGTTATTGTGTGGGGTAAGTTAAGGTTGGGTTAGGGAGAATGTTTCTTTAGAAAAAACGACTCTTGCAATTAATCACATTAAGTGGCTTTTTATTATTATTATTGTTATTGTTATTATT